ATCGCAAAGAGTCAGATTATTTAATCTTACCTTAGCTTTAGATTGCTCTATAAGTTATTCATTTTCTGCATTAGATACTCGATCAATGCCCAAAAACAAAGTATAAAGACTGTTCAGAATGCTTTCAAGCATAACTGCAGGGTTCACATTTTGAGTATCCCATTGAACTCTTTTTATAAAATTTTGTGCATTTCCAAGCATTCTATGCTCAGCAAGTGCTAACACAAGTTGTGCTGTATTAAAAGTACTTGGATTAAGATTAATCACAAGACTCATTTCTAGTCCCCATTTATCAATTAATTTTTTAATTGTTTCAGGTTTTTTACAGTCTAAATCTAGGATTGAGGCTGTCTGAACTTCCCCAGCAATACCAGGGATACTAGCATTGTTGTTAGAAGATCTAGGTGGTCTAGGAGTTACTGATGGTTTTCTTTCGAATTCTTCAGTATTCATTTCTTGATCATCTTTTGTTCCAGATGATTCTGGTTTTTCCATTCTAAAATTTTCCTTTAGAAGTTCTTCCTCATCATTGAAGTTTATTTCTGATTCTGACTGAGTGTCGGTTTCAGTTTCTTCTATCTGATAAAACTGATCATTTTCATCAAGTTTTAATAATTTTTTTCATTTCAGGATTTAATTCTAAGTCTTAATTACATTGTTCCTCATTCATTTCTAAGAAACGAATTGTATGTTCAAGCTGGATAGCTTGTTTATCATCCAATTCTAAATTAATTAGATTCCAAAGATTTTTTTCAAGTTTTTCACTTTTTCTTGAAAATTCATTTTTTTAATGCATTCTTTGGCCATTTAAAAGCATTAGGATTTCCTGAGCTTCCTAATTCTTCATTTCCCACTAAATCATTAGGATATGAATATTTTAGAAAAGGCATATTCTTTTCTTGATTAAAAATTACTTTTTGTTTTTTATTTTCTTTTTTACAAGGACATTTAGCAATTTCTTGCTTAATATCGTTGATTATTTTGGCTGCTATTTGTTCTAAATCTTGTTTAGAATTTTTAGACTGTTGTTGAACAGATTTAAATAACTCATCTATCTGTTTTTTCAAGCTTTCTATATCCCGTTTTATATCCGATAATGTATAATTCATTTTATATACTTATAATAAAACAATATTCAAGTAAGGGTATAATAGTAATTTTCACCTTTTTTTTATTTTTAAAGATTTTTCTTTTTGGTCAAATGTTATTTAGCGAAATTCAAAGTTCAAAGGTTATTTAAACAAATATGCTTTTGGGAAAGGTCATCTGGATCAATTTCCTCCACAATGGTGTGCCATCTTTAGGGTTTAACAGTTAAAGCATCAGCATCTCAATCTCCTACGAATCTCCGAGATCGCAAAAATGGCGTCCTCCAAAACCCTTATCCGCGCCGGAGCTTCGCTGATGACCCGTTTCCTCAACCAAACAGCCGGCACCAACCCCAATCATATCTTATGTCAGAGACCCCAATTGGTCGTCCCCCGGACAGTTTCGCCCTCTCTCTTCATTCCTCAGTCTCACAAGGCGACGCCGTTGCATCAAGACGACGTCGAACCGCTCAGAAAGCTGTCGTCCGAGGGCTTCTTCTACCCTTCAGGCCTTCCCTATCTCCCCTTCTTCTTGCCCGAAGGTTAATTCGCAATCTCTCGTTCAACTTTTTCCTTCATTTTCCTGAAATGTGAATTCCTGATAGTTTGTTAGCTCCATTATTGTTTTCGTTCTCGTTATTTGAGCTCCACAAGCTGATCAATTCGTATAGTTTAAGCATGATACAACCGGAAAGTTGATTCGTTTGAACTACCCTGTGATAGTGTTCTGTTTAAGTCCCTTGATTGGTTTCCAAATACCAAATTAATGTTCATGTTCTTTAGCCAGATAGTTTTTGTTTGATTTAGACACGCATCATCACCTTACCTTTTTTCTTGTGATGATACATGATAATTCTCCAATCGCACTCTAAACAGAATTGGTGTGCTAGTCTGAGGGGGTTCAGGTGCCTCGAAACCTTCTCCCTTTTGAGGAGACATTTTACCAATTGTTTGGGAAGCTGGTTGCTTTATGACCCTCTGTCATCCCTGATTTAATGATTCCATCTTCTTGATTTTGAATCCCAATTGGAAAGTAGATGCTTGGACTGGATTACTTATGTTGCTTGCATTGTACATAGTTATCCAACCATGTGAAAATGCTCAAGCCCCACTTTGCTAAGCAGGACCTAGTGAAGGGGCACTATAGTCTAGATATTCATTCATAACTGACATGGTTTAAAGCACCAAAAGCTCCCCTCATCTCTTATGAAATATCCTCCATCCGTAGCAGTGATTGGTTAAATTCTCAAGATTGTATTTACAAGTTCAAAGAACTGATGTGGCACAGGGTGTAAAGATTTCTATATGGTGCTTCTTCTTTTAAGATGAAATGCTATAATATTTTGCCATGACACAATCATCTGAAATTGAGGAGTTCGTTATATTCTAAATCTTGGGCAGTCTTCTAGGATGTCATGTCGGGAACAATTATTTGCATCATGACATGCATCTGATTACAACATGTCTTTACAGGAGCATGATGCATTTTTTTGCCTACATGTTTGAGGAACCTCGTATGTATGGATTTAAATGCAACAGGATCAACACAGTACTAATCCCTAAAGAGAAACATTAGAAAAGACTGATTTGCACGGCACTTGCAGTATAGGATGAGCCACAATCGAGGAAAATGATAGTTTGTTTTCCAACAATTAAAATGGTGAGGACTTTATGTGGTGATGATGGCTGCAGTTGGGTTGTCGTGTTCTATTGATGATAGACTATAGAATAACTTGTTTAACCTGACTGTTCTGTGATATTCAGTGTTAAAGTAACCCATTTGTTGACTATACTTTTAGCAGGAAGTTAATTACTATGGATATTGCTGTATTTGAAACTGAAACATTAGTAAATATTTGGAAATCTGGGTAAATCCAGAACATAATAGCTTATGGATGAAAGTAATAATAACGTAATCGTGAAAATATTATTTTAAACTGTATGTTATGAAAACAATGCTGTCAAAATATTGTACCAACAAGGAGATTATGTCGGGGTTGGTGGACTGTGTCAATTGACTACAAGAATGTGGGGTCATAGATAGAGCCACAATAGCTGGTTGTGATTTATAGGGTGGGTCGAGTTTAGACAATTTTATGTCATCAGCACGTAACGCCAATTTTTTTGCCGGTGTTCCTTCTTGATGTTGTCATGTTAGTTAAATCTTAGTTCATCATCAATTCCTATTGAATTGGAAGCTGTTGTAGTTTATTTGAGTTGGCAGTCTTTCTTTCTTATCACTAACTACTTTGCAATATTGTTTTTTTTTGTCCAACTCATTGCAGTAGATGAGTCATCATCGAGCATGCCTATGCATTTATTTCCAAAGAGGACCTACCAACCAAGCAACATCCGGCGCAAAAGAACTCATGGATTCTTTGCTAGGTGGGCCCCGCTCTCTCTTTCTCTTGTCACACGCACATGCACTCACGCGCTCACTCATGCACACATATAAAAATGTATTGTGCGCCTTATGCGCACGTGCACACCCACCCACCCATAAGTGCTTTATTGCATGGTCATATGGCGCCTGGTCTCCTTTCCATTTCCTGTTATTGGTTGCAATAGATAATCATATATTTATTTGTTCTGTCAAATAACTTTATGTTAAGAATTTATGAACACCTTTTTTTTTTGGCATGTAATTATGAAATATTACTGAATGTCTGAGTCATTCTTTGCTGTGGATCTTCCATCAGTTTCAACTTTGCGTTACTCCACGTTCCCTGTTTTAGAAGTTTAATTACCCATACAATGCCTAACAGTTTATGAGTTATATATAATCTTAAAAGATAGATTTTAATTATTTATTTTATAACTTGGCTACAAGTCATGGGTAATTTGTGTAATTTATTTTAGATGAAAGTTAAACCTTCATCCTCCAACTTACTGTCTGATATTTTACTTGCAAGGCCATTTTTGTTGTGTATTTAACTGCTCATATCTGGTGCCTGAAACATGCGCTTTCGCTTATCCTGAACAGAAAAGCTACAAAAGGAGGGCGAAGAGTGATTGCAAGGAGAATTGCAAAGGGTCGTTCTAGAATCACGGCTTAACGGCCCCATTTCTAGTGAGCTTATGTGTGATGTCAAGTTCAATTTAACGACTTTATTTGATCCAAATAGCAGAAGCATTTTGGGGGAGAACTTGTTTAAGCATTGACCTTTGTTCAGTGAACACTTTTCAGAATTTTGATTACGATCGTAATGTGTAATGCCTAGACATTAATGTTTCTTCAAGCTTTTGCCCTCATATATGTGATGGAGTTTAGATGTCCATGACATTGTTTATCCTTTTCTTTTGTGGTAGTTTTTACGGATAATGCTATGTTTACAAAGTTAGTTGACAAAGGTTGTTGACAAAGTGATTTGTACGGTTGAGATGAAACATAAATTAACGGTTAAGATTTGTCTTAACTCTAATTTATTTTTTTTTAGTCTTTGTATAGGGCAATGTCAAAAACACCCTTGTTTTTTTATAACGAATGTAGTTTCATTATCTGATTTTTATCTGAAGTTAATTGTCATAACATACCAAATAAATTATCTATTCTTTCTGACATATCAGCTAGAGAACGTTTCTCTGAGACTGATATTTGTATAGGATTTTTATTTCCTATCAAAGTTTTTCCTTTAGCTATATCAATAGCCCAATGTTCTTCTAGAGGTGCTAACTCATTAAGTTTTGTTTTTTTAACTTATCTACTGAACCTATATCTAAAAAGATTTCTTCTAGTTCAATATTTGATATGCATGTCTATCTTTTTTATTATATTGTAATCTTTTTTATTATATTGTAGTCTTTAGTGTTAATCTTTTAGTGTTAGTAAAGAAATTAAATATATATATTGATATATTAACATATATAAAATTAAGGATATATACATATATATATATATGATAATTATTATTTTAAAAATTATATTATTTCAATTTACTTTAATTCACTATAAATGTGTATACATATAGACTGGTATCATCTTCATTGCAGAACAAAAGAAGAACAAATAAACAAAATAGATCTAATACAAAATGAAGGCAAAATCTATCTATCTATATCTATATCTATATCTATATCTATACTACTTTAAAAAGAGGAGTGTTTTTGTAAAAATTCATAATGCCTAAAAAACCCTTACTTTGACAAAAATTTAATGGCAAATTAGTAATACACTAATACACATCATATTTTATTTATATTTTTAATTAAAAAATGAACTACCTTACTTTCACATGTTTTTTTAAAAAAAAAATTAGGAACTAAAAAGTTCACGTTTTTAAAATATTTTTAATAGAAAAATTGTAAACACAATTACTCAATAAATACTACATAAAAAATATAAGAAATCTTATAACCTCCGTATATGTAATTAAAAAACATAACTTTTCTCAATTCAACATAAGCAAATCAATGAAAATTTTTTAAAAATTTTATGAACAAAAGTTGACTCGACAATATTATTAATGAATTTATGAATTGTAAATATTTAATTAAAATATTAATAAAAAATTGTAATTAAATATAATATAATATAGGATATACGGATATTTGATATATAATGAGGCAGATGATCGAAAAAATTCTATTCTTTATATTACGTCTTTTTTGACAAATCTACATTTAAAAACATGTGAAAGAACAAGATAAAGTTTTAAAAAAATATTAAATGTAAGAAATAATATGAATAATAAATAAGTTGTGACACGTACTAATAAATATAAAACAAACTAATAAACAAAAATAATATAATTAATATAACTAAATATAAACCTTCTAAAAATGTGCTTATCGATGTAATCGAACTGAGTTGTTAAGGGGATGCTTGGATATAAAAATTTTTGGATTTGTTTGAATTTTTTGGTTTGGTTTGGTTAATTTTGAAAAAGGTTGTATGGTTAGTTGTTAGTGGGTATATTAAAATAATATTTAAAATATAATAATTAAAGTTGGTTTGATATAAAAGTATGAGAAAGATGATTTGAAGTGATGGTTAGTTAAATTATGTGAGTGGGTGAATAGTGAATTAAGGTTGATGTGATGTGTATAAATGATTGGTTGATATTATTTAATTATAGTAAAATATTGATGATAGTGGGGTTGAGTTAAAGTTGAGTTAAAAAAGTGGTTGAGTTAAAAATGTTTGGATTTTTTTGAGATAATTTTGTATCCAAGCATACTCTAAACACTTGTTAGTTTTTTGTTCTTATTAATTTTATGTGTAAATTTGAGGTGATAGACAATAGTTATTTGTACATTTATACATGTAGATTAGAAAAAAAAAAAATCTTCATTATTCTAATTTTAAATAACTTTTTTATTTACTATAATAGTTTTTTTAATATAATATATAAGTATGATATTGAAAAGATAAAACAAGAAATATTTTAATTATATAATATTTAATATGTAAGAAATGTAACTCAATTGGTAAATTAATAGGTAATCTTGAGATAAAACAATGAGGATTTCTGAAAAAAAAAAAAGAAAATTATAGGAACTAAAAAGTTCACGTGTTTAATATATTTTTAATAGAAAATTGTAAACACAATTACTCAATAAATACTGCATAAAAAATAATGTTTGAGAGGACTACAAAATGTTGCTATACTGCAATGAAAAATTCAACGGTAAGGTATTATATTGAAAATTTCAACGAATATGTTACTTTCATTGGCTATTCCAATCGAGTTCAAATTAAGTTACATGAACTTTAGTGGTTGTAAAGATTTCAATTACCTAAATTTCTATTGGAATTTATTTTTTGGACCATATTTCAATCGTTGAAAAAATTGTCATTGGTATTATGCAAAAATTCAATAGAAGTTCCATTGGAAAGATAATTGCAGTGATAGATCCAAAATAATTTCATATTGGGAGCATTATTTAGTTAATAGAAAAAAAATATACCATCAAAATAACATGTCATTGCAATTTATAAATTATACTTTACATAATCTATCACCTTTCTCATTTGTAATACATTTTAATAAATCTATGCAATCACAATTCACAATAAGGTAAAATATATTTAAGAAACCAAAAGTCAAGATTTTTCTAAAATCAACATAAGAAAATCGTTATTTTTGTTGTAATTTTTGTTGGAATTTTCTCATTTTTTTGTAGTAAAACTAAGACTCCAAATCTATTAAAAAAAATGCATTATATATAATATTGTGTGCAACTATTATTATGAAAATTTTTAATACGATAGAAAATATAACACATTCAATATAAGAATTAATTTTTTTCAAAGCAAACAAGATACTTTGAAAGGTCCTTAATTATTTTATTAGTATTGTAATTTCTAAATAAAGGGTAAGAAAGATGACAAAACTTATAACTCTCATTAAATCTAAAAGTAAAAATGCTGATAAAATTATTTAATGTACAATATCAATTGGAGCTGGCTAATGATAAATATAAA